CCCCCCCCGCACTCGGGGCATTTCCCCTCATGCCCCAGCCCCGCCCCTGAGCCGGTCACGTGTACCCATCGCCGGCCCGCTATTGGCCTCCGGGGCAGGCTGTTCCCCCAGGCCCCTCCCCTTTTCCCAGGGCCTCTTCCTCGTTGTGAATGAACTGATTGAGCGTCTTTAGGAGGCGCCTCGTCATCTTCCCCCCTCCCTCCCAGTAAGACCTAGTCAGGGAAGATCCTCCGTAGTAGCCTGACAACAGCCCTGCGACAGTAGAAAAGAGCCAGAGTCCTCCAGCAGCACCTTCAAGACTTAACAAAAATTGTGGCAAGGGGAGGAGCTTTCCGCAGTCACTGCTCACTTCTTCGGATACAGCTAGAATGGGAGTCCCTCTGTCCTTATACCACAAGGTGGATGGATTCCCACTCCGTCTGGTTAAATGTGGTGCCTTCCATTGAGACAGATCAAGATGGGTAGATGTGTTCGTCTGTCTGTAGCAGTAGAGAAAGAGCCAGAGTCCAGGAGCAACTTAAAGACTAACAAAGTATGTGGCAGGCAGTGTTCCCTCTAAGCCGAGTAAGTGTGAGCTAGCTCCCAGTTTTTTTGGCTTCCGGCTCACACATTTTTGTCTTATAAGAAGAAGAAGAGACTGGATTTATACCCCGCCCTTCACTTGGCGTCTCAGAGCGGCTTACAAACTCCTTTCCCTTCCCCTCCCCACAACAGACACCCCGTGAGGTGGGTGGGGCTGAGAGAACTCAGAAACCACCCCCAAAAAATATGGAGCACATAGGTGGCTGCTGTGGGGCTCCCAACCTCTCCCATTTTGTGTGCGTCTGGGGCAATGCTCCCTCTAAGCTGTGGAGTCTTGTGAGCAAAAGTTCTATTTTGTGAGCTGCTGGCATTAAAGTTGTGAGTGAGCGATTTGGCTGCTGCATAAATCAGTTTGCTCTGGAGCCCTCCTTCCTGAGCTGAGACAAAAACGTGTGAGCCGGAGGCTTAAAAACTGTGAGCTAGCTCACACTAACTCCACTTAGAGGGAACACTGGTCTGGGGTAGAGCAGCAGAAAACAGCAAGAGTCCAGGAGCACCTTAAAGACTAACCAAATTTGTGGCAGGGGAGGAGCTTTCGGGAGTCACTGCTCACTTCTTCAAGATGGGTGGCCGCGTAGAAAAGAGCAAGAGCCCGGGAGCAATGTTCCCTCTAAGCTGTGAAGTCTTGTGAGCAAAAATTCTACTTTGTGAGCTTCTGGCGTTAAAGTTGTGAGTGAGCGATTTGGCTACTGCATAAATTAGTTTGCTCTGTAGCAATCTTTCCTGAGCTAAGACAAAAATGTGTGAGCCAGAGGCTAAAAACCTGTGAGCTAACTCACACTAACTCAGCTTAGAGGGAACACTCCCCGGGAGCACCTTAAAGACTAACCAAATTTGTGGCAGGGTGTGAGCTTTCGTGAGTCACTGCTCACTTCCTCAGATACCTGAAGCAAGAGCTGTTTGCTTCAGCGGTTGTTGAGGAGCAAAGGGATGAGCCACACATCCACCCGAGAGGGAAGTGAACAGAAAGGTGACCCTAGACTCTAGAGCACTGGTTCCCAAAGTGAGCAATACCCCCCCCCCTTGAGGGGCACTGGAACGATCCAGGTGGGCGGTACTAGGAACCTTGGGTACAAATTTGTCACTGCATCTTTTTGTCCACTTCTTAAAGGTAGATTTCCAGGGGGGCACTGAGTAATTTTTTATTCTGAAAAGGGGGCGGTAGGCCAAATAAGTTTGGGAACCTCTGCTCTAGAGGGTGGTCTAGGCCATCTGCATTGATCTGGTCAGGTGACTTCGCCACCTATTTGGTACCAGGTGGGTACAAGGTGGGGGTTAAGATGCCCCCTTTCTGTTTTTTTTTTTCAATTTTAACAAAAAATACAAAATAGAAAAGGAAAAAAATCAATACTTCATCAACCATTAAAGGGTTCATACAGATCCTACTAAGATTATGGACATAATAGTAAATATAGTTTTAAAATATTTCATTTAACTATAGAATATACATTGACATATGTTCAACATAACAATGATATAATGCCTTTGGAATTTCCTTCTGATTAGAAAGATAAGTTAGAATCGGTGACTACATTTTTTTCAACTCTGGCTCTAAGTTGATGTCGTCTGATTCACATTAAAAGTAAGCCTAGCTGGAACATAATGATTCCATAGTCGTGTATGCCGCATCTGTAGAGTCGGGGCAAGCAGCTGTGGCGAGATTGGCGGCCGATAAAAGAATCGCAATAACATTAGTTATCCACTGAGGTTGATCTTTATTCCAATTTGCTCCTAATAGAGGGCACCCCGGAGTAAATTCTAGTGTCATCCCCGTCATTGTAACCGTCTCCAAAATTGCTTGCCAAAAAGGTACCAACACTGGGCAGGTCAACCATTTTAGGTTCACACACACACTCTCTACGGTTTTGCCTCTTGTTCACCTGGCCCCAGCCCTTAAGGGATGTTCTCCGGCTTCTCCAAGCGTCTTCCTTG